TGTAAAATGGTGCAGTTGCTATGCAAAACAGCATGAAGTTTCCTCAAAAAATTAAAACTAGACTCACCATATGATCTAGCAATTTCACTTCTGGATATGTATCCAAAAGAATTAAAAATACAATCTCAAAGAGATATTTGCAAACCCATGTTCATTGCAGCACTGTTCATAATTGCCAAGAGGTGTAAGCAACCTAAATGTTTATTAACAGATGGATAAATAAAATGTGCTCTTTCTATACACACACACACAATGAAATACTGTTCAGCCTTAAAAAAGAAGGGAATCCTGTCATATGCTACAACATGGGTGAAACTTGAGGATATTTTGCTACGTGAAATAAGCTGGTCACAAAAAGGCAAATACTGTATGATTTCACTTATATGAGGTATCTAAAATAGCCAACTCGAAACAGAAAATAGAATGGTGGTTGACAGGCACTGGGTGGGGATAGGGAAAAGGGGAGTTGTTCAATGCACATGGAGTTTCAGTTCTGCAAGATGAAAAACTGGAGATCTATTGCACAGCAATGTATATATAGTTGACTCTACTGTATCACTTAAAAATGGTTATGCTAGTCAATTTTATGTTATGTGTTTTTGACATAAAACCAAAAAAAAAAAAAGAGAGAGATTTTGAATATAAGATGTCCCATGGTAAGAAATCTCAGGAGAGTTCCTTTATGAAGCTGCAAGCTGAAGTTAGAAAATCGGCATAGGTTCTAACAGATACTATACTTTGAAAATTCTTAACTGTAGTTTTCACTGGTAGATGCAATGCACAAGTGTAGTCATAAATCTTTTAAAAAAGAAAGAAAATGTTCTTGGAAGGGGTGGATTTTGAGCTGGGTGTTAAAATAAGTAGGACTTTAACAGGTAGAAGGTGGGGGAAGGGACGGGTGCTGAGGGCTAGGACACAGGCCAGACTAAGGAAGGGCGAGGAAGAAAGCGCAGGATGTGTGTGGCAGGGGGAGTGGAGGGTGAGAGAGGGGCTCGTTTGCAGAGAGTTTTAAACCTTAGGCGAATTTGAGAGTTTATGGTTGGGCGGGGGCAGGTGGAGATCAGATCTTGCAGGGGAGAAAGTCGGCTGGATGAACCCTTGGGAATACACGTGTTGGAGTTGAAGGAGGATGGAACAAATCGAGTCTGACTAAAGACTGAGTCTCAGCAGAGCGAGGACATCGGCGAGGGCAGAGCAGTGTGAGTCCCAGCCCTGCGGCTTCCCATGCAGGCGGGCGACTCACCTGCAGCCACTGATCACACAAAACCTTCCCTTGAACTCCATCAGGAAATCACCGCGAAATCCCTCATTCTCATAAATTAAAGACAACCAGGGTAGCAACGACAGCTTGGAGTAAAACAACAGTGGCCTCGCAGCTGTCCCTGCCAGCAGGGGTCTTTAACCCCCACTGGTCTGGGGCTGGGGGTGGTTCTCTAAGATAACATTGTGCACAGGTCTCCAGGGTCGGAGAGGGCCAGGGACCCCACTTTCTTGATCATTATTTGAGCAAATCAGCTCCAGCCTTCACTGGGAGGAAGGGTGAGCAGTTGGGGACGTTCCTCTAGTAACAGACTTTCAGGTCCTGGAGCCTCCTCTGCCACCCAGCGTGTGGCGCTATTTCCAGGCACAACTCACCCCACACCCGCTCCAGCAGATCTTTGAGCTCCAAGCTCCTAATCGATGACAACTGGATTTTAGGACCAAAATAATTGCAAGAAGTTTCCGAGTCTTATACCCCAGACTCAGGAGTTTCTGAGATAGCATATTTGAAATATTCAATCCACTGTCCCCATAAATATAGGAATATTTGTCAGACCCTATGTTCTGAAGGCTGGTTCAGGAAATAGGGGCCTAATACCGTTCACAACTGCTGTGTATTGAACTCTTACTATGCGCCAGGCACAGTGTTAATCTCGTGGGTCACTGCATTTAACCTCCACAGGGACTCCATATAGAGGGTGCTATTGCTATATCCCCATTTTACAGCTGGGGAAACAGAGACTGCAAGAAGTTAAGAACGTCCCCAAAGTCATGCAGTCAAAAAGTTGCAGTGCTGATTCCACAATCTGTCTGTCCAACTGTGAAGTACCACGATACATTTCTGATCAATGCTGCTTAACCTTGCAGAGATGGCTTAGCTGGGACTGGGGCGAGTTACCCAAACCTTCAGTAATCAAGATAAATACTATTTGAATGCAATGTTTTAAAAAATCAAAATTAATGCAAAAAATTGATGATGAACAAAATATCAAAAAAAATTTTTTTTGAGACAGAGTCTTGCTCTGTCACCCAGGCTAGAGTGTCACGGTGTCAGTCTAGCTTAGAGCAACCTCGAACTCCTGGGTTCAAGTGATCCTCCTGCCTCAGCCTCCCGAGTAGCTGGGACTACAGGTGCCCATCACCACACCCAGTTATTGTTTTTTTCTATTTTTAGTAGAGACGGGGTCTCACTCTTGCTCAGGCTGGTCCTGAACCACCCCCCACCCCACCCCCCACCCTCGACCTCAAGTGATCCTCCCGCAGCCTCCCAGAGTGCTAGGATTACAGGCATGAGCCACCACGTCTGGCCAAAATATCAAAATTTTAGATAGAGGATCCAACCAGCGACTCAGGATTGGCGGGGTAGGGTAGGGGGCTCTTCGTGGGTTTGTCTTTTCTGAGCTGAATTCCAGATTCCTGGAGTAGGTGCCGAGCCTTGCTCCTCACTTTCTCCTTTCTTTAGGCTCTTATGCAGCTGATCTTTCCCACCTTCTTCCCCTTCAGCTAGATTCCAAGCAGAGACTGAAGCATCTGGGCAATAACGATTTCTAGAGAGTGGGTCTGGAACCACAGGTGAATGAATGAAAGGCAGCTTGCTGTGCCCTGCCTCGTGGGCTGCTCCCGAGGGGACCCCGTGGGAGAGCCCAGGGCCCCTCCTGGATGAGCGCCTCCCCCCACCAGAGACTGACCCCATGAAGGGTGCGGGGCATTCAGCAGAGGGTGTCCCTGTGCTCTTGGGGTGGTCAGCTGCTTGGCGTGTGTGCTGGACTCCACACTGCAGTGCCATGGCCACTCGCCCAAAGGAAACACATTTAGGTTTTGCTGCACCTTGGAATGATGAAAGATTTTGCCTGAGCCCAGCAGGCTCTTGGCTCTGCTCATCCCTCCCGGATGCCCTTGGCTCTCGGATCCCTGGAAAGCGGCTGGATGCAGCCATGGGAGATGTGGGCAGAGACGGAGGAGCCACAGTGACGGACGCCACGGAGAGGAAAGCTCTTGAACACGGCCCAGAGCCAGGTCGCTGAGAATTCCTCCGCTTTCTCTTTCTTGGCAAATCTCCAGCCAGGGGTAGGAATAGTTAATTTTCCTGCTGAGGATTTAACCACTGGGATTTAAAGGACCCCTCTATTAGCAGCCGGGAGGGCAGCTGTGGTTATTATCAAGCACCCTGAGCTCCTGAAGGGGCTTCTTCAAGCATGGAGACCAAACACCACTTCAACATGAGGATTGTGTTGGAAATCTACCGAAAGCTGTGGGGTTTGGGGTCTGAAGTCCCGGGTTTGAGCTCACATCTAGGGTGACCAACTCTCTTGGTTGCCCAGGACTGAGGGCTCTCCTGGGACACGGGATTTTCAATGCTAAACCCAGAAAAGTCCCAGGCAAGGCAAATTAAGATGAGTTGCCCACTCTATTTTGACCCTGTTTTTGCAGTGCTCACCTCGAATTTTCAGCCTCTCCTTTTCCACACGGATAGAATTGAGATAGTGATAAAACCTGCTGTCCCCACCTCCCAAACCTGTAGGGCTCGAAAGAGCTAATGTCTGTCCCCCACAGCACCTTGAACCTCCCCACCAGAGCACGTCCCAAGGCCGACAGGCCCCTGCAGCCTCTTCCTCTCAGTTTGAGCTCTTTTGGGGTGAGACCCGCTTATACATCTCAGCGTTCCTGGGGCTCGGCAAAGAGCAGATACCTGGGAAATCTGTCCTAAGTGGAGAGGGCTTTGTAAAGCAAAGTACAGTGTTCCCATTTGTTGGTTGGTACCCCCTTTCCTGGCCGGCCCTGGTCAGCCCCATGGGAAGGGCCTCTATGGGTTCAGCCGGACAGGACAGTAGGGCAGTGGGGTGGGAGGCTTGGGCACTGCCTTGTTCTGGGCAAGGTGGGGACAAGGAACCAGACAAAAGGTGAACGGGCAGTGAGAGAAACCAGGGAGGGCCCCATGGGGACGTGAGGAAACAGCAGGTCCCCACGAGGGGGAGGAGAGGGCTCTGCCCAGTGTCAGACCTCAACCACCTGCCTCCCGGACGCTCCCTAAGGCTAGCCATCCCTCAGGAGGGCTCCTGGCAGGGCTGCCTTCCCTGGGGGCCAGCCAGACCTTAGCATGCCAAGCTGTCCCCTTGGCTAGGGCATGGCCCAGCTCCGCAGAGTGATACCTGGTGGACAGTCTGCCCCAAATCCCAGCCCTCCATCTTCCCCTCACCCCTTGTCTTTCCCATTCCAGCCCTAGGCCTGTTTCTCTGCCTCTAGGATCCTGGAGATGTAGGGTCCTGGCTCTGGGTGGCACTCAGGGTCCCAGGCTCAGTCCTAACCTTCTGGGCCTGGTCTCAGGTGACGCCCCTGGCGAGTGAGCCCTGTGGCTCTGGGATGTGCGGAGCTGGCTGGAGCACGGAGGGGAGGAGTATGACCCAGAGGCAGCCTGGGTTCAGCAAAGCCCTTCTCTACCACCCAGAGGTTCCACCCCACGTGTCCTGCAAATTTTTGCTGATCCTGTTTCATTGTCTTGCTGGCACATCCCTCCTGGGGCCCAGGAGTACTGGGGACACAGCTGTAGCTTGCATCACCAGAGAATCCTAGAACTCTGAGTAGAAGAAACCCCAATAGGAACTGGTCTAGTCTCTTGCATTTAGGTAGGTTAGACAATATTGTTTGAAATTTATGATCAGGTCTCCTAAGCTCAGAGAGGGTGAGCAACCTCCCCAAGGTCACACAGTAAAGGAATGGTCAGCTGCTCTTCAGCCACTTACCTGAACTCTCCTTTTTCCGTCTGGATGATTTCTTCTCTGTCTCATTGGCAGTGCTCCCAAGCACCCCGTAGTCCTCGCCTGGGCCTCCTGTGGTGTCCACCAGGCCTGGGCTGCTGGTCCCCATCTCTCTGGAGCCCCCAGGTGGGCCTGAGTTGGGCCTGCGCCGGGCCTCTGAGACAGGGAAGTGCCAGTCAGGGGGCTGCGGGAAGGCGGGGTGCTGCTCGGTGAAGATGCGCTCCTCCCGGGGCAGGCTGTGTGGGGTGGCCGCCAGGCAGGAGGCCGAGAAGTCAGGGTACGCTGCCGCTGCTGTCGCTGGGAAGTCTGGTTTCTGGTGGAAGGAGAACGGGGTTGGCGGGTAGTGGGGTAGCCCTGCGGCCCCATTGCCTTCGGAGTGGGGGTTTCGAAGGCAGCCCCAGACGGGGGCTGGGGGCTGGGGGCTCCTCATACAGCTGCTGGCCGCGGGATCCATCTGCTGTCCACTGCACGCCTCCGTCCTTTCAAAGATTTCACTCTTTTCACTTTTTATATTCAGATTTTTAAAAACGAAAAAAAAAATGTGACTAGGAGGGAAAAACCGTCAACAGAAAGTTCACCCCAGAAACCAAAACAAAAACCAAAACTAAAGTCTCTCCTTAAAGCGTGCACGCATGTGGCCAGCTACCCCTGTGCGCGGGCACACACCTGTGTCAGGCTTCACTCCTCGCCTCTTGGCCCTCCAACACACCGGCCTGCCTACTGGGGTCCCTTGTATGTGTATTTGTCGCCGATGACACTAAACATTTTCACTGTCCCAGCCCAGACGCACCAGCTGGTGAGGAGCTCCACTCGGACCCTGGAGCAAATCCCTGCAGAGGGCTGGACCGGGGCTGCTGAGACACACTTTTAAATCCTGCGGTGGGGAGAGAGTGACAAATTTCTGAAGTGAAATGTGAGAGAGGAGAGGGAGGGGTTAACCCGAACACACAAGATCCCCTCCAACCAAAACCCTAGCAGGCAACTATTAATCATCAGAAACCTTATATGCACATCTAATGGGATTTGCAGATGGAGACTTTTAAAGAAACATTGTCTGTATTTTTTTTTTTTTATTTTAAGGAGAGAGCAGTGCGCGGGTGCGCGCATGCACACACACACACACACACACACACACACACACACACACGCATGCATGCACACACCGCCTTTCATGTGCCTCCTGTAACACTATGAAGTTATTTTTTATTGCACTGTTAACAAAATTCCCCAAGTCCTGGATTTCGAAAAAGCCTTAAGTCAGATCCAGGATCCATCAAATGCCAAATTCCAGGGAGTGAAGCGGGGAGTAAGTGCAAGAGACAAGCTTGGTGATTGCATTTGATTTAAGGGCCCTTCTGCTGCTGCCTGCAGAAGAGGAAGGTGGATTAAAAGAAATCTTTTTTGCAAGTCTCAGCGGCCCACTATGGTCTGTCATATAAAGAAAGGCACACTCTAGAAAAAAAGAATTTCTCCCGGCCCAAAGTGACATTCCCACTTTCTCAGTAACTTAAAAAAGCAATCGGATTCTTCCTTCTGCTCTTTAACCTCCAACTTACATGCCAATTAGCCACACTCTTCTCTGGAGAGGTTTCCAGTCGTCTTTTCTCCACAGCAACGGCAAGGCTCTTAAATAAGGTCCTTGAAGTTTCTTCAGGTCTCACCCCACCTGCTCCCTGCCCCGATAACCTCTACCCACCTGCTTCCCTTTCTCGACCCCCAGAGGCTGAGGCGTCCGTGGAATCCGGGGCGTGGAGGGAGGAATGGGGGCTCCTCATTCCCCAAAGGGGCCTCTTTGGCAAACAGGTCCACCCGTCTTTCTGGTGGGTGCACATCACACGACGGCCAGCCCAAGTGGCCGTCTCAGCTGGTCAGTCGGTCCACTTCATGGCCGTGCCCTGCTGCTCTCTCTGGAGGGGTAATGCAATTTCTCGGGGTAATGTAATGTGATGTCACACACGGGGGCCAGAACTGCTCTCCCACCAGTGTTTCCACGGCCCAGAGCAGCAGGATCAGGGCAGAAGCAGGCGTGGGCCTTAACAGCGATGTCCCTGCTGGCTGATTCCAAAGACACCAGGTTCCCTGAGGAGGGGCCGGTGGGTCTTAGCCCTGCTGCCTGGATGCAGGGCCCTGGGGGAAGGGAGATGCTCCAAGCTGGCAGACTTAGGAAGGGAGCAAGGGAGCCCCAGGGGTCTGAAATAGAAGATACGACCTTCCTTTAACCCGGAAACTCTAGTCACATATACGTCCCAGTGGGGAGCAGGAAAATCTGTACAAGATGGAGGTGTGCACACACTCTTCATGAAAAGACGCACCCTCTTCTGGAGCATGTGGCCAGGGTGTCGTACACCAGTAGAGAAGATGGGTCATAGCCACAAACGAGACTCACCTCTCTGCTTTGTCCTGGGCTTAGCTGTTGCACGTGCAATTCGTCTCTGAGCCTCGCTCCTCTCTTGTGCATGCAGTGAGAATTACACGCACGTTTTGCAGGTGAGGAGACCGAGACTCAGACAGATGAGCAGGCGGCTCAGCACCAGGCGGCCAAGAAATGGCAGAACCAGGAGTTGCCCTTGAGCGTCCTGCTGTTCCTTACATCTGGAGCAGACAAGAGGTAGAGGAAGGGACGTGGGCGTTTGGGGTCAGACAAGCCTGAGTTCAAATCCCAGGTCTGCCACTTCCCAGCTCTGTGACCGGGACTAGTCACCTCGCCTCTCTGAGCCTATGTTGCTTCACCCGGGAAGATGGTCATGGCTCACATCCGCCCACTGGTCTTTGTACCTTGCACACATTACCCCAGGGGGGCCCCACAAAAGCCTGCTGGGGCAAGTACTAGTCTCATTGGCTCCATTTTTCAGAAGACTCTGAGGCACAGAGAGACTGTGTAACCTGCCCAAGGACACAGAGCAGGGGAGTGGAGGACCTAGGAGTCAAAGCCAGGTAGCCTGGCCCGGCTGCATCAGAATGGCCGCGCCACAAACGTGCATTTTGAGTGAAATCCTGTATGTGAAGGGCAGAGCAGGTGACAGATAAATGTGACTCCTTCCCGGCGCTTCTGTGTCTCCTAACTGCGATGATTCCAAAGGGGGGGAACTGGGGATGGGGAACACTGAGGAAATTCTACAGAAACAGCCTTATGGGTCCTGGGGGATGCTCTGTGCTGTGGGGGCCCTGGAAGGAACCCACGGAAGCGGGGGCAGGGGGAAGAGCCGGCCTGTCAGCTTCCCCAGCAAAACCTTCCCCAGGGCCTGGCCTGTAACCCGATTCCCGCTCCGCCTCTGCATCTGGCCCAGGGACCCCATCCCAGGAAGACCCTTTGCCCCTGGAAGGGGTGGGCCCTGGGTCATGGTGGGGTGGGCGGGGAGGTCAGGAAGGGCACAGGGAGGGGGCGTGGTGGGGTGCTCTGCCCTGGGAACACAGGGCCCTGGCACCCTGGTGCCCCCAGCAGCTGCTGGCGTCTGTCAGCCACCCCGCAGGGCACGGCCGGGGGGCCTGTGGGCCTCTACATCTTCCTGACAGGCCCCTCTTCTGAGGCCAGGAAAAAACAACAAGAGTCCCTCCCCTCACGAACCCATTTGTTAGATGAAGGCCGGACACCGGCACCTTTAACCCCCTCAAAGTCAGCGCTTCCCTGTCAAGGGCCGGCCTGGGGCAGAGGTGCAGGGAAGGGCTGAGCGCAGAGAAAAGCCCGGTGGCCTCCCAGCCCAGGGGAGCTGCATTCTCAGGAAGGGAGGGGACCTGGGTTCTGGTTGTTGTTGGGGGTGGCAGGGGAGGAAGAGGAAGGCGTGAGTCAGGAGGAGGTCCCAGGGGCCCCGAGGAGGGCTTTCGGCTCAGCCACACCTGAGCCATCCCGAGGAACTTTTGGAATTTCCTGCGTTGTGCACAGGGAGCAGGCGTGTCCTTGGCAGGGCCGACCTGCTTCTGGAGAGCCAGGGTGTCAGGGTGGCGCCCTGAACTTGGAGGCGGAAGATGGGGTTCAAGGTGTGGCCTCGCCTTTCATCGGCTGTGTGGTCTCAGGCAGGTCACATCCCTTCTCTGAGCCTCAGTTTTCTCACTGGCAAAATGGAGTTGACGGTACCGTGCTGCCCTGGCTATTGTGGGGATGAACGAACTGACGTCTGAGGAAAGAGCTGGCTGACGGTAAAGGGTGAACATTATGCCTCCTTTTTCCGTAGCCACACTGAATCATGGGGTGGGTCACCTCTCGGTGGAGGGCTAAGGTGGCCTGTCCTGGTGCCCAAATGCCTTCTCCTGTGGTGACATAACGCAGGGTCGAGATCACAGCCTTGGGAGTCAGGAGGGTGTGGGTTCAAACTCCAGCTCTGTGGTTAACAAGCTGAAAGGCTTTGAGTAACTCGCATTATCACTTGAGCCTCAGTTTCCACATCAGTAAAATGGGGCTAAACATCTTCCCGTCGCCTTCCTCTCATTGGGTTGCTGAGAGGAGCGAGTGAGGGGATCTGTGAATGCTCTTGGCACACAGTGGTAACACCTGGGTGATGAGGATGGTGTTACCTGAGATTTTTGCCTTAAGGACAATTCCAGAAGGTCCCTGTGAAATATTTATACACCACCTAAGAGGGGACAAGATGATGCCATCAGCCTCTACTCACACAGTAGAATGTGTGAACCAGACAAGAGGCCTGGTCTCTAGCAAGACCTTGAGGGATGGGATGGGACAGGAGACAGGCACATTCTTCTTTTTTGTGTGTGTGAGCTAGAGTCTTGCTCTGTCTCCCAGGCTAGAGTGCTGTGGTGTCAGCCTGACTCACAGCAACCTCAAACTCCTGGGCTCAAGCAATCCTCCTGCCTCGGCCTCCCAGAGTGCTGGGACTACAGGCGTGAGTCACCGCGCCCGGCCAACAGGCAAATTCGGAATACGGTGGAAAGGGGTGCGGACTAGGATGTTTACTACCGGGTCTGGGACTTACTTGGAATGTACCTACGTGTGCTTTGCTTCTCCCCTGCCCCCCAGTCTACAGTACAGGGCTTCTGTGAGGCTCCAATAATACGACCCACAGGACAGAGCTGAGTCAACTACAGAACACAGTCCTTGCAACTGTCAACAGATAATCTTGCAAAGCCTGCAAGGGGGGGCAATGCCACCCCAGGGACCCAATAGCAGGATCTTCTTCTAAATCCCAGAAAACACTAAGCTGACAGAGACAGTTTTGTCTTGTGTGTATATGTATTTTAAACCTTTGGTGCTGACTCCGTCACTTCTCTGCTCAAGATTGTAGGCGGATAACTGAAAAACATACCCAGAATGGCCTGCGCCCAAACTTGGCTCTTGGAGGTCAGTTTCTGCAAGTGTGAAGTGGAGGCTCACGGTATAGACCAGGTGCAGACACTCGGTAGGTGCCCAGCAGATGGGTGCCCTCCAGGAGTTCTGTGCTGAAGGAGTCAGGGCATGCTCGCTTACAAAGAGGCACGATGCCTCCGGCAAGTGAGGGTTGGAGTCAGCTACCTAGAACAGAAAACTCAAAATGGCAGGAGGAAAGAGGAAACACACGGAGTTTATTATTCTTCCCCATAAAACGAGTCCAGAAGAGGCAGTCCAGGCTGGGACGACAACTTCTCCAAGTCATCAAGGACCCAGGCGCTGTCTCTCGGCTCATGGTGGCCTCTTCCAGGCTGGCTGTCAGCCTTCCAAGTAGCTCAAAGGAGGGAGGACAAATAGACTCTCCCCATTTCTCTGCCCCATTTTAAAGAAGCTTTCTGGAAGTCCCGTCAACCGCTGCTCTTTAGCCCCACTGGCCAGAACTGTTCACTTGGCCACACGGAGCTGCGAGGGAGGTTGGGAGATGTGACCTATCAGCACCTTAGTGGCTTCAATGACCCT